CAATGGACAGAGCGGTGCGACTCTTACTACGGCACCGTATCGGTGATTCTTTTGCTTCCTGATGAAATGTCAAGTAGCCTGCGAACGCCGAGTTGTTCGCAAGAAATATTTCCGACTCATACCAAGTCTGGAGCCAGCAGCGGAAATCGCCAAGAGCCAGCAAACATTGGCCGAATCCTGTAGTTGCAGTCCAGGCCCACACCACCAATATGCAGACGTTTCATAAAGTTTTTAATCTGATCTGAAAGAAGCCGGACGATGAACATGCTATAAGTGAAGCCTGCTGGCCAACGCCGAATTAACCAAGTGCACTAGCGAACTAAATACTTCGCAGAAAAAAAGAACAGAAATGAAACAGGAAAACCATATACAGGGCGAGTGACAAGCTGCTGCTGCTTCTGCATGCTTCTTCTCGAGTCATCCATTGCTCGTTGACCATATACAGCAAAATCTTCCAACGGCGAGATGAAATGCTATACCACTTCATTAGAAGCGTAATAATAATAATAATAATAATAATAATAATAATAATAATAATAATAATAATAATAATAATAATAATAATATAATTTCGGGATTTTACCTCTCCCAAAACAAGAACTAGCACCTTCAAATTTTCTTATTAACGAATGGAACGCACTACCATCATTATTGCTAAAATCGGTCGAGTCGATCGACACAATTACTGATATGTAAAGTTTAAATTGAGTTGGAACTGTTTGTTGTTTTTTTATATACCTCTTGAAAACGTTGCATTTTGTTTTATAATTTCACCCCTCCTGCCTGGGCCTGCAGTATGTTGTAAATAAATAAATAAATACATAAATAAATAAATAAATAAATAATAACCACAATACGGTTATGACAGAGACCGTGATGAAGAGCTCCGGAAATTTTGGCATCTGGCGTTCTTTAACGTGCACTGAAATCGCACAGCACACAGGTCTGAACCGCTTCGCCTCCATCGAAGTGTGACCTCCGCGGCCGGGATCGAACCCGCCACCTTCGGGTCATCAGCCCACTGAGAGGCGGACTGAGAACTTTAAAAGTAAGGTGTCACGAGCCAAAACTGCGGTATCGCTCGCTGCATTCCGTGCCGACCGGTTGCGCCCTCGCGATCTCCGACGTCAGCGCTGCTCTGGTCGACTGGGCTGGCCCTGCGTCATCTGCTGACGCCGACCTCCGAAGACAGTGTAGCTCTGACCGACTGGACTTGTTCTATAGGTCACCTCCTGACGCCGACAAGAGCTCTCGCAAGTGGTGCCCGTCCTCGGACTCATGTGACCGTGTTTCCATCTTTTCAGGGGCGAAGCTCTTTATAGCGGCACCCGTTCGTTCCCCGTAGTATGTAACAAGTATAACATTTTGACCTCCAAGGTGGCGCTGGTGAGAGACTTCTTCTGTGCGTTGTTGAACAATGAAAAATAGTGCTCAATGTACATGTCGATGGCTGCTAATGGGGAATGAGAGACAGGAGCATTCGGCTTTTAGTTAACGCGCACGCTGCGATCCACATTAGCAGCCACTGGCATGTACATTGAGCACTATCTGACAAGAAAGGGTTGCAACGTTATACTCGCTGGGTGTAACCTCCTTAGCTTTACAATGGTTTAGCGAGCGTTGAGCCGCAGTGCCATGAATACAATGAACTTGTGTATACCATGAATGAACTCGAGGTGGTTAAAAATGGGAAGTAGATACGAAGCGGAAGCCGTAAGAAAGTAAAAGCCGAATTCTCCGCCTCTCATTTCCCATTAGCAGCCATTGGCATGTACATTGAGCGCTATCTGACTGAAAAAGTTTGCTACGTCATACTCGCTGGGTGTAACCTCCTTGGTTTTCGAAAGGTTTAGCGAGCGTTCGGCCGCAGTGTCATGAATACAGTGAACTAGTATATACCATGAACTCGAGGTGGTTAAAGATGGGAAGTGGACCTGAAGCGCAAGCCGTAAGAAAGTGTGCGTGTGCCACCTCTCGTTGAGTCCTTGGAATGTCCGCTGGATGGCGGTGCTTCTATATGGGGAATATATGATGAAAAGATGCGAGATGGTGGTACTTGGAATGTTGAATAGATGGACGAACGGACACACAGACAGATGCATGGATGGACGCATGAACGGACGCAGGGACGGACGCACGAACAGACGCACGCATGGACGGGCTGATGGACGCATGGACGGTCACACTGACGGACGCATGGATGGACGGAAGCAAGAACGAATGGACGGACGAATTCTTCGCCCCACTCTCCATCATTCACTCCGTGGACATGCTGCCATTTTTTTATCTCTCCTACACCCTCGATTTGTCGTCGCTCTCTCTGGCTTACCACCTCACGCCTCTTTCTCTCTCTCTCTCGACACCTTTATTCCTATCCTTTTAATCCCTCCTCACCCCCATTTCTTGTGAGCTACTGTTGAGGTGTCGCTCGCTGAAATAGACAGTTACGGGGCTCACTTTTCCTTTCTCACTTAGAACCACTTTGTGTATAACCATGAGGCGCGCCGCAGTGGGTGACCTCCAGGAGTGTCTAAACGTGTACCTATAAGTGCTGCAGCTGCACGGGTGTCTCTTGCGTTTCACCGCTATCGACATGGAGCCGCCGCCCCGCCGCGGTGGTCTAGTGGCTAAGGTACTCGGCTGCTGACTCCAAAGTCGCGGGATCGAATCCCGGCTGCAGCGGCTGCGTTTCCGATGGAGGCGGAAATGTTGTAGGCCCGTGTTCTCAGATTTGGGTGCACGTTAAAGAACCCCAGGAGGTCGAAATTTCCGGAGCCCTCCACTACGGCGTCTCTCATAATCATACGGTGGTTTGGGGACGTTAAACCCCACATATCGATCGAAAACATGGAGCCGCCGTGGCCTGAAATGCAAACCCCGCCCCAATGCCGTCACGTGCTTCCTTTGTCACTGCTCCCCCAATGGTCAGCCGCTCTGCAGCGAGCGAAGTCTTCCAGCTATGTCGATGTTCATCACAGCGTCCAGTAGACGCCCTAAAAGCCTGTGTTGGGCTCGCGCGACAGCTGCAGCTCTTTTGTTGCGGAAAAATTACTCGCATTCAGTGAAACAGGCTTATAGTGCTGGGATACCACGCCGGGGGTAGTGTCAATAGTAGCAGGGATAAAATTTATCGAAAAGTTAGTTACTTGAGTCTAATAGACTGGACGTTGAGCTCACACACACAACTTTTCCCCACCCACTGTGTGTAACTAAAAAACTTTGCCTAACAAAATTCCTTATTCCTGATACGAAATAAACCCAAAAACGCACGCAAAGTCTTGCTTTCGCCCTAACATACGACACACAACAGCTGGCCTCGACAGCGACGTCAACTTCGACGCCAAGAATGGCAACCACCACCACCACGTCCCCTCGGATTTCGTCAGGGACCCTCGCCGGAACGATGCATGCTGCCACTATGAAAGACGTGCCCTCTTCTCATGCAGCCCGCATGTTTTGGAACGCTCGGCGATGCAGCCACCCCCGTTTTTTTTCCTCCCCTTTTTCTTCACGCTCTCACTCAGCGTATCTTTATAAATAGAAGCGTATATGGACGAAACCGCCAGCGCGTCGCCTTGGTCGTCACACACAAAGGCGCAATAAGCCACTGCTCCTCCTCCTCGGCTGTTTCGCATGGTGGCTTCTTCTTCGCCGTGGTGCCGGTGGCCCAGTCCTCTCGTCTTGCCTCAGCGAGAGGCAATCGAGACGAGAACAGGGACCAAGTTCTAAACGCGGATCGGCCGTGTCTGTCGCCCGCTTCTTCCACTGACGCGCTTACGAAGACCAGCGAGGGAGACTCGAGGTTGGGTTGGTCGGGCTTGCGGCCCGCTAGTTTTTGCAACGCCTATAGGGATTGCATCACGGAGCGCGACGCCGACAGTCGGTGAGGGACAACCGAAAAATAAGCGTTGAACACTTCGACTCGACCACAACACCCCCCCCCCCCCTCCAGCCAGTCGTCTGGCTTGGTGGCCCGACCTGAACACCTTACTGTCAAAACGCTCAGAGTGGCGGCGACGTTCTGTTTATACGCACGAACAGAGAGGTCAACACCGCAGCTTGAACCACAGTCGTTTCTTTTTCCGCGTTATATTTTTCTACTCTCTCTTTCCTGAGGCATTTCTGTCCCCCAAATGGCGAGATACCGTAAAAAAAAAAAAAACCGAAGCAAACACAACAGACGTGCCGTTGGCATATGCAGTGTTCCTAAATCGACAACCTAACGTAACTAGCGCTTACAAACGCCACGTACGCCTTTTAGCGCGCAACGACGAGCGCACTCGAAAGCGCGATAACGAACGATTGTCGTCACAGCCGCACAAACGAAGGCGCGGAAGGTACACGTGACATGCGGGATCCCGCGAGCAACCCTGTCTGTCCTCCTCGAGCGCATCACGCCGCCATACGCGTATAATGTGCCGACTCACTGTTTATATGCAGATAAAGAAGCAAGGCTTGTTTTCCTACCGTCCAACGGCGCGGAAATCCCCTCATCAAAGAGCACAGCGGTGATGGATGGCTCTCGAGTGGCGGCTTGTCAGGAGAGCAGCCGCTCTTGCGCAAAGGACACACAATCAGATGCGACTGTCCTTGCACCACTTTTTCCTCACTCCAACGGGTTGAAAGGAGGACGTCAACACTATCTCTCGCGGTCACGAGACACTATTCAGAAGACACGCACACATCCATCCACTAAGCTGGAAATAGCAGGGATTTTAGTAACCCACAGACGCAAAGCAGATAGTCATTTCGCAGTAAGACGAGACCCGTAGTCGAGTGCGCAGCGGCGCCCGGACGGCGCGCGGCTCTTATCAGGCGGCCTCGCGATCTGCACGCCGGATAAGCGCGGCAGCCCGGCCCCTGCAGATCGCGGAAAACCTTGAGGGATGCCCTTCCCGCTGTCAGCTGAGAAGCGCCCTGCGCACGTGCACCCTGGGGGATCACCTAACAGGGCACAAGGCGGTACGACGCACGCCGATAGTTGACGTTGCACGTGCAGCGCTACATGCTCGTGAGGTTATTTAGCACGCATTGCGGTCAAGGATTGGTGACGTGTAAGTACACGTCCGTGGCACTTCTGCTGTCGGATTATGTGCTGTCAGAAGCTTCCATTCATTTCCGCGTGAAGTAATACGGTCAAGTGTTATCACGTGACGCCCCAGTTAATCAGTCAGCCGCTGACATAAACCCCAACGGAAGCTATATCGGACTATTAAGTCGCTAACTCTTCCTGGGGTACCTCGCACGTTTGCCTAAAACGACTTTAAGGCGAATGCCAACTTTTCATATACTAAGTCGATGCATTAATCCAAGTCGCCGTTCTCCCGCCGTTCTCCCAAAACTCTCTGCGCATAACGTGGTCCATGCATTGCCTCCAAGATTGGAGCCAGTGCACGTTTTCTGCGTCTCATCTGGTACGGCTCTGCCTCCGGCATCAGAGCACTTTTGACCAATTGACTACGTGATGAGATGATGTAATCACGGGACGGTGTAGTTACGTATCACGCGATGATCATATTTTGCATGACTCGAATGCCGCAGTTTCCGATGGAGGCGGAAATGTTGTAGGCCCGTGTGCTCAGATTTGGGTGCACGTTAAAGAACCCCAGGTGGTCTAAATTTCCGGAGCCCTCCACTACGGCGTCTCTAATAATCATATAGTGGTTTTGGGACGTTAAACTCCACATATCAATCAATCAATCAATCGAATGCTGCAGTGACACGCAAGGCGCAATATGCAACCGGAGACGAGTGACACTGAAGCAGGGCGAACGAACGACGACCAGCTAATGGAAACGTGGGCAGCCAAGCTCGTTCTCGAGGACCTGGAAGACCAGCGGCAACTCGTCGCCAGGGCCAAGAGGGCAGCCGAAGCCAGAGAGTTCCTGGAAACGGGAGCCCTCTCACCTCAGGCTGATACCGGGCATTGTTCGGAACACTGTCGACACTGTTTCTAGAATAAACGTTTATTTCTCTCTCTCCCTCGTGTTGCCACCGACGTCGACAATCAGTTTTAGCGTTTTATGAAGCATCTAAGGCTTTTTTTTTTTTGCGTCAAGACACGTAATAAATCTTGAGACAAGTCCGCGTGACGTATAGAATGAAAATAGAAAATCTCGGCACAGGTTTCGCTTGCCTGTTGCACACTACAGCTGCAGGCGCAATCGAAATAAATCCGCCCTTAAGCAAGCATCACCCTTTATACTCGTACGCTTGTGTATGAACGTACGTACAAAAGGATGTCGTCCAGAGCGAAAGAGATTTAATCGTTAAAATTGTCATTTTCACAGCATAACGAAGCGTCAGGTAGATACAAGAGTTAACACTTCACGGAACACAGAAATATTAACAAAAGACGACGTCTTTATTGACATTATAACGAGAAGCTTCGCAATCATACTTACTGTGCTTTCAAGGCATGGATAAGTTATTGCTCCATAAATATTTAGAATGCATAATGACGATGCGGAACATTCAAAATTAGCCCTTCTTTTAAAGTGCGCAATAATCATCTTGCTCAGTAGTGAAGACTAAAATAATGCGGCGGCAGTACATTCCACGATTTTCAAATGCTGTTTTTTTAATGCGGGCTTCACAGCAACTGGCTGAAAAAAAAAAACGTATGTTTAGATATCTCGTTCAGATTACAAGTTCCGCTTGACATGTTCTACACCCACAGCAATATCAAATCCCTATGTTCACTCTAAAAGCAGAAGCCGAGATATACCGCATATTTAAATTCTTCTCGTGTCGATCTGTTTACATCAAAATGTCGTTAAGAAAAATTAAGCAGCGCTATTCGGGATATCTGCGGAGAAACCGTCAGTGTGTATATGCGTTGTTTGGGCGGATTGGTCTCAGAGGTCACCTGTTATAGATATGCAACAATAAGATGTGCTCATAATTGTGTGTTGCTGCACTCCCTGGAACATTTAGAAGAAGAAAACTTTTTGCATGCACTTGGTAATGCAGTAAGCTGTACACAATCGGTCTATTTCGGGTATCTTGGGACGACTTGTCATATTTTCTGACAAGATTGTGCTGCGACGCGCCTTTGTTGAGAGGTCGTACGTCACGTACAAAGTTGGTCTGACGTAACACAGATGCAGCATTTCATGAGGGCCCGGCGCGTTCATGTCGCCGGGACAGGGGCCTCGAATTTCAATTACTACCGTATCACATGTGTTCGGGGACAATATTGGGGGATTCTTAAACAACGAATACGCCCTAAATTGTCACGTCCTACAACTTTTCCACACGAACTGCCCTCGAGTTAATAATTACCAAGCTAACTACGAATTTTTGTTAATTATTTGAATATAGCCCACTACCTGATAATTGTTTGAGGTCCCTGATCCATAGCTAAGCAAGCCAGGTCGAGGTTTTGCGAACGACGCGCGGACCAACGGCGAGATTAAATAATTGGGGAATCCCATAGTTTCGTTTCTAAGAGTCCCACGTGATATATCGATATCCTGTACCTATAGAGTGCGTACTTCAAACATGAAATCCAGTTCATGAAATATTTTCGAACTTGCTCCATAGGCACAGTATAACGTGTGTGCCTTTTGTGGTGGGTATACCCGGCTTTAAACCATGAAGTCATTATGGTAAGCAAATGTTCTTACCATTAAATTTGCTCTATGGTGCCGACGACCAATGGGAATGTACGCTTGTACCACGCATTAATACTGCCCCGCCACGGTGGTCTAGTGGCTAAGTTACTCGGCTGCTGAGCCGCAGGTCGCGGGATCAAATACCGGCTGTGGCGGCTGCATTTCCGGTGGAGGCGGAAATGTTGTAGGCCCGTGTACTCAGGTTTGGGCGCACGTTAAAGAACCCCAGGTGGTCAAAATTTCCGGAGCCCTCCACTACGGCGTCTCTCATAATCAAATAGTGGTTTTGGGACGTTAAACCTCACAAATCAATCAATCAATCAATCAACGCATTAATACTGCAATATTTCATGTTGTATTGAGAAGCATGTATAAAGGACCGTGTGTTTGTAAAGCATGAAAGTTAATTCACTGCATTTCCAAGCAGAGGAAGTTATTTTCACTGAATTGGCAAGCAAACGCGCGGCTGTATGGTAGAATACCCGCTTGCCGCACGAACGAACCTGGTTCCGTCCCCACTCGTACCAAGAACTTTCATTATTTATTTTATTAGCATCCTTCTCGTTTTTTCGCTCACGCACAAGAATATATAATTTTGGCTCACAACCAACGACGCCGGAATTTCTGCGAAATGAGCCCTTTAAACGCGATCGCGTCCATAGACCCCTATGTTAAAATATCACCCTGCATGTGGGACTTACAGTGGGTGTGAGCCCTAGCTAAGACGTGAACAACAAGGCGGTTTAAATAAGGATGTGTTCCAATACTTACCGTAGACGGCTAAATAGACAGCTAAATGAACGGCGGCCATCTTAAGTCCCATTCCAATTCTCACGTAGCCACCAAAATAGACAGCTCCGAGAAGAACGCATCGTAGACAAATACGATGCAGGCTACTTTGCTGTCAAAACAAGATGGCGGCTCGCGAATCGCTCAGATAGATCGAATCTCGCCGGAATGTCCGTCTGCACACAAGCAGGCGCTTCTCCAAGCGCTCAATGTGAATAACGTTTAATTTCTTTAGATTTTAATACAAAATAAGGCGCAAATTACAACTGTTACGTTTGTTTATTTTGGATTTTTTCTTCTCGACGCGGGACGGCACCTCGTCGCGTAAAAGCCGTCCAGACGTGTTCAGATTCTCGGACAGCATGGGCTCGGTGCTGTCTTCTAAGCAGTCTGCGTAGACTGTCTACGTGCTGTCTAAGCATTGGAACACATCCTAAATCGTGCTTTAACCTCCTCGGAGAACAACTTGGTCGGCGCTGGCTCACCTTTGGTGGATTCCGCCATGGCTACGCGCTGCCGCTGGCTCCACCTGGGGACAGATGTTGCAGCCGAGCCACGACTACGAAGGCAGCGCTCTCATCAGCCCCGTACGCCACTGCGAGAGAAAATTTAAAGAACGGTGAGGAGGAGCATGACGGGTACGCAGCGTACAATCTCGTCTTTTCCGAGCTGATCACATAAGCAGGCTCGCTATACCGAAAGCCCATGTATAAATCACGTGGATGTTGCCAATGTATGTAAATGTATAAACAGGCCTCCACTTGTTTACTCAGTAGCGTGTTTGCTAACCGACAAGAAGTAGCCGGGCGTCACTGAAGGCACCAATTAAGCTCCCGTTTCGTGTGGATATTATAAAAATTATTGATAAAGGGTGGATGACAACACCGAGCTCGCAAGACGGGTGCTAAATTACGCACAAACAAACCAGCGCTCCTTAGCGGTAAGTACTTCACGTTATTTGTACACCACCACATTCCACCGCCGCTGACAGCCTGTACGCAGCATTGCACGTGGAAATTAATTATCAGCATGGAGTGCTAGTGATTTCCTGAACGAAGTACACAGGAATCCCCACGAGGAGGATAGAGAAGAGCGAAAAAAAGTAATAATAAAAATCGAGAAGTGGCACTGGAGATATTTATTCTTTCTGTAAAGAGACCAGGCTGCGGCCTAAGCGAAATAACATCGAAAAACTCCCAAGCATTTCCCCGAGGGTGAACATGGTTAAGTGCGAATGCACGGGGTGATGCTATGAGGGGGAGTAAAGTTAAAATCCGTTGGCATTCGCCAGTGAGTTAACGTAAACTCCCCCGTGTGATCAAATTGCGATTCCCAGGAACCATTACACCATAAAGGCACCGTAGTGTGATTAATAAATATAATAGTGCGAATTAATAAATACCCCTCATAGCATCACCCCGTGCATTCGCACTTAACCATGTTCACCCTCGGGGAAATGCTTGGGAGTTTTATTACTGATGATGATGATTAAAGTGTAATTAATGAATTTAAGTGTTGTTTGTCATGAAGCATTTGTACACAGATACATTATATACGAAGAATTATTTATTTACACTTCACGACGCGTCTGGACGAGCAAAGTCCAGGGCTCGCACCCTCTCCCGCGAGGCACGTTCACTGGCTCGAACGGCTTCGGGAACGTCCACTCGCCGTTGACGATTGCGAGCGGCGTCTTGACGCCGGCCTTCATCGCCCTTCTCCGCCTGACGCTTGCGTTGTCGTTCCGCTTCTTGGGCCACGTTCGCGGCTCGATGCTGACGCCTCATCTCGGCCTCACGAGCACGCAGTTCGGCATCCGCTGCACGCTTCGCCCGCTTACGTTTGGTCTCACGAGCCCTTCGCAGCGCCGCCTTGTCTTCCAACGTCGGCGAAACCACCGCGGTACCGTCACCTCCAACGACGGGTGCAGTGCTGGCATTCGGTTGTACTGCATTCGTTGTTGATTGTAGCGTTGCCTCCGGGACATCCATCGCACGACCCGCTCTCGACGGGAGACTGAGAGAGAAGGTGGTCGCGTGAGGGAGAGGGGTGCGCGTGCAGCTGCAGCGAGCGAGGATAGCGGAGGAGTGAGCGAAGGGGGAGGGGGACGCGCGCAGTGGCGTAAAGATATAAGGCGCGTTACTGACACCGATATCAGCGTCGCGTCCGTGGTTTATTCGGTAGAGCGTAGCGCTGCGGCCCGCCAAGTCCTCTTTCTTTTAAAGATAGAGAGAAGACTGCGGACGCCGCCGACGGCGGTGGATGGTTTGGGGTCGCTTATAAAGTGTATTCACACTTAAAAAAAAAAACGTTTGAAGGTATGCTTGTAATCGATAATTACACATGCTTGTGCAGCCGAAACTTTGCACATATGCAAGCCCCAGAGGGCAAGCATATATCCATAGCCTCCGGTAACTGGTGACGACCATCATGAAAAGGGCAACTATAAGTAGATTGCGATAGCAAATATATGAACACTCTCAGCTGAATTTTGGCGCCGGCGTCGATGACATGCACCATATATATATATATATATATATATATATATATATATATATATATATATATATATATA